TCTCATATATTACTGTTTCAAGAAATATAGCTAAAATTAAGCTGTACACAGTTGTGCTAGCCTGCAGTCCCAGCTACTCAGGAGGCCAGGCAGGAGGACTGCTTGACCCCAGGAATTCAGGCCAGGCAGAGTAACATAATGAGATGCCAGACTCAGATAAACAAAATAACCCTAAATCTTGAAGTACATCTCTGATTATACCTTAGGGTAAATTCCAGAACTGGACTGACTGAATGGATATGAGTGTTTCTATAGCCTTCTCCATACATCTGCTGCACTACTCTTCAAAATGGTAGCACTAGTTTTTAAAGGAATTTTTACCAATCATTATCTTTTAGTGCAAATAGGGTTTGAAGAAAAGATTAGATGTCTTAGAAAACAAATAGACACAAGGTAATAAATCATATAGTTAAATTAACTAAGAGTTAAATATGATTGGGGGGTGTACCGGGGATTGAACTTGGGCCCTTGTGCTTGCGAGGCAGGCAGCAGAACCACTAAGCTAAATCCCCGGCCCGAGTTAAATATGATTTAATAAATAATGAGCATTACAACCTGAAAGTTTTGTCCTCATAAGTTGTATTTTTGGTTTCTGACATTACCGAAGTTTTATTACGCTTTAAATAAATTTTGTATTCCTCTTATAAATCACTTGTATTTAGAATTCTGTTAGAAGTTACTATTCAATCTAGGATACACTGGCCATATCAGGGAACCATTTCTATAAAAGAATGACACATGGAGACAGAAATATTCTTAAGATAAATCTGAAAAATCTAATTAACCAAAGGATACTACAGATGGGTCCTGAGGAATGGAAGCATTTTTAAAAGTGACTACAAATGCAAGTGCAAGGTTCCAAGTTTGATCCCTAGTACCACCCAGAAAGTGGCTGTAAAATGCCAATCTGTACCCAGTGCTGTAAGAAACTTTGTCAAGTGTTTTGAAAATTAATTTTCTTTTTGTTATAAATATTTACATAATATGTTTACAAATAAAATTTAGTGTGATTTTTTTACTTTCATAAAAAATAAAATTAAATGTGTGGATCCTGAGGACTCACAGGTAGTACATATTAAACTAAAATGAAAAAGAAAACAGAAAAGAATAATAAAATGAGTCAGTAGTAGCTGCAGGTTAAAAAATGTTTCAAACTGAAAGGAGAAATATTTAAGTTATTTCAAACATTATCTTAACATTAAAAGATCAAATAAGCTATGAACATATTAAATTTTTTAATTCTGAAAGGTAAAAAAACAAAGATAAAACGAAAAATGCTAATTCATATCCCACATACTGGAAAACCTAATATAGGAGAAACATTAATAGAGACAACCCTACAAAATTTATTTAGTAGGAAGAGGCTGGAACAGGTAGCAAGAACTAAAACAATGAAGTAATAAGTAGATAGAAGAAAGTGGACAAATGATGAACTACCATTTGATGTTATAATCTACTGCTGTTGCTTATTTTGTACCATTATTCAGCCACCTCAGCTGAGGACAAAGAAACCAAGGGGCAGAGGGTCTCACAATAGCCAAAACTGACAACCACAGATTTCAAGTGCTTCTCTTATAATGGAGTAATCATTTTACATCTTTACCTTAAATAAAATACTAAGAAGACTCATATTTTCTCTGTCAATAGAATATAAAAAATAGAAGCAAGGAGAGATTTCTAGAGCTGGTACACTAATAATATCATCAAATTAGCTAGGTGGTAAGGGACACACACACCCCACCACCAACAGTAATAACAAATTAACAACCAAAAAGCACATTAAAACTTATCCTTGAACAACACAAGTTTCAACTGCGTGGGTCACTTATACAAGGACTCATTTTTTTTTTTTTGAAGATTCGTGACCATTTTTAAGAACTCAAAGATGAATTTTATAACTACAAATACCAAAAAAATTAAGAAATGTATGTCCTGAATGTATAAAACATATCTAGATAAGATTATTTTATCAATTACACATTAAGATATATAGAAATTATAAAAAGTTAAAATTTATCAAAACTTACAAAAACACAGATTATACATGGCACAATTTGGAGTCGAGAGAATGTAAACACAAAGATACCATACTAAAGCATAACTGCATAAAATGAACTGCAGTACACACTGAACTACTATAATAATTTTGTAGCTGCCTCCCATTGCTAGTATAGTCAACTCAAGTCCCACCAGTAAGAACACTGTGTGGCGCAGATCATCTCCAAGTGAGCAGCTTGTTTCTCCAGAGAATTACATTTTATAGTACAAAGTGAGATGATTTCATGTTTCTCATGATTCTCATGTATTTGTGTCATATGTAATACACAGAACATACAAAATGTGTCAGCTATTTATGGGATCTGTAAGATTTCCACCAAGAGTAAGCGATTAGTAGTTAAGTTCTGGGAGAGTGAAAAGTTATTTGTGATGTTCTACTGGGAAGATCAGCTCTCCCTTAACCTGGTATAGTTCAAGGATCAACAATAGGAGAAGGAACTATATGACCCTAAACTTCACAATTAGCCCTAAATACATTAGACTGATATTACTAGGAGGTGAAAATGTTTAAGTTATAACTGGTGTTCAAACAGCAACACTTCAAATTAATTTCCACCTTGGATGATTAAAATTAAAAAGTGGAAATAGGCTTCAACACACCAAAAAGGTTACTTATGTTCAATATTTCATTCCAAAGCCAAGATAATAATACAATAAAAATGAAACAGAATAACAGGTGGTAGACAAACTATAATTTTGATCATAAAGAAGATACACTATATTTTAAATGCATCTGAATAAGAGAAACATACTAAGAATCAGTCTGTACAGTGCAATGATCTAGCATTCTGAGCACACTGATATATCCCATTTAGCTTCGCATGTGTGTTTTCATGCCATTTGAATGTTGGTTGCTTTGTGTTGAATGAGAAGTTCAAAGGCACAGCAAAAATCTGATATCAGGGGGCTGGCTATTGCTATAACTCAGTGGTTCAGTGATTGCCTACCATGCTCAAAGCCCTGGGTTTGAACCCTAGCAGCACAAAACAAACAATAAAAACAAAACTGAAACCCTTTTCATACTTATTAGCAGAATTTGAATTTTTCAGTAGTTACAACAGAAAACTGTGGTCATTATAGGATTCAAGTAATAATGTGCACTTGGCAAAAATGTAATTACTTGGTATATGCCAGGTGAGCTTAACCAATATAAACATAGCTGATACTGTATAATCACAGAAACTTAAACTTCAGAATGTCCTTATATAATCAATTTCCTACCTTTTTTCTAGCAGTCTACTATGAATAAAGATGGTATACAAATTTTTTAAATCCAGAATTATCATTTAAAAGCAGACAAAATGCAAGGTCCTGAGTTCGATCCCCAGTACCAAAAAAAAACAAAAAACAAAATTGAATTTTCTTTTTTGTGTTTGTATGAAATATAATTTTATTCATATTACATTTATCGAAAAAGTCATGCTGAATTAAGTACAAAAGATTTTGGCCCCAAAGAGTAATATTTTGTGGTACCAAGTGAAAAACCTCAGAAAAATATTTAAACTAAATTTTTAACCAAAAATATGTTCAACATTGCAGCTGATTTTGAAATAAAAATAAGCAGGGCAACAGCGGACCAAATCACATGATCTAAGATCCTTCTTTAGAATATCTGTATCTAATCTAGCATTCCAACTTTCAATGCCATAGTGATATGGAAGAAAAACCATAGGAAACAAATGTCTCTATGAGGTGATCTTACCAAGAATCTTGAACTTGAATCTGATCAAGCTTCTATACTTTAATTTTTTTAAAAATCAGACGCACAGAGAAACATCAAAAGGATGCAACCATCAAACTATAGTCTATGAGAAATGCTATAGGACAGACAACCCAATTTTTTCAACAGATAAATTCACAGAGGAGCTTAGTACTTCTTTAAAACTCACGGCTTCAATCTCATCTCCCTTAATCCTTACAGTTTCTTACTCTCTGGGTACGTGTATCATGGTACTTGAACACTAGATTGTACTGACATGTCCTTTCATTACAGTACCAGCACACAGAGAATGACAGAGTAGCTTAGGACAGGACTCTGAGTTTAGATAAAATCTCAATGCTGCCCTCTCTATCAAGGGAAGAAAATGTCACCTGCTGCTAAAGGAATTTTGAAGGATTCCTTGAGAAAAATACGTGTAAAATATATTTTTCCATAAGAAAAATATTGTAAAATATACAAAAGTATAAAAAAAATGCCAATACTTGGGATATCATAGGTAGTCAGTAATTATCTGATGACTGAATAAATAAAAACATAAGGAGCAGTGGTGAAATTCAATCTTTGATTTCAATCACGTTCTTATAGTCTCCAATGAAGAGTAAAATGTCAGAAAACAAAAAGTAATAAACCACAGGCCAGGGATTTAGCTTAGTGTCGCCGCACCTGCCTTGAAAGTGTAAGGTCCTGAGTTCAATTCCTGGTACCAGAAAAAATTAATAATAATAACAAAAACCACCTAAGGGAATGACAACTGGGGTGGGTGGGGGAACAAGTAACTAATTTCAAAATTGCTGAGCGTGACCCTAAGTACGAAGGACAGCTTAACTACAGCAAATACTACCTAATAAAGAATGGAATTAAAGGCTTTACTTGACCAAATCTGGTAAAAGCAATGCAATTTATTTTCTAATAACTCTCGATATAATCATCTTCAAGCATAGTTTTAATAATATGGAGAATATTTTTAATGGCTTTTTAAATATCAGCCTTACTACTGTGAACCTATTAAATCAATCAACTTTTCCATGTGAACAGTAGGTGGCGTAACTCACAAACTTTGAGCTGGCTGCTGCAAAGTAATGTTTAATAAATAAATAAGTAAATAAATAAATAAATACTAAAAGCTCGACATAGTATCCAAATTTCTGAAAACATTCATTTAAAACTACTCAAGAGTCCTAATTTGAAGATAAAAATTTTCAAGTAATATGAGAATACTTACATCTCAATTTGTCCAGCATTTTTCCACCACACATGGTTGCTAACATAGCCTTAACCGAAAATACCGTCAACTTGCCTCGGCCCTCACTGCAAAATAAATATTAGAAATAATTGCTTTCTGAAACCACAAAAGCAGTCAATGTATCACTTTATATTGAGCAATCAGTAAAAGGACTCCTACCCTTATAGGTTACAATTTTACTACATTTAGAAACCCTGGATTTTGTCCTTTATCTATGCTCAGTGAAGAATGTTGAAACTAATCTGAATTGCGTGGAAATGAGTTTTCAGATCAGTCTGTAAGTAATTTCTCTCGGTTCTGAAGACAAAGACTGAACCAGAATTATTTATTATTAACTAAAAGCATTATACTCGATCTGAAGTATTTTTAGGTAGTCAAAACCAAGGGATCACCTGGTTGGAGTAATTAAGAAAAGTGTTCTTTACATCAGGACACTGTAACAAGAGTTTATTGTTGTGTACTAAACAATAAGGTACGCAATGCTATGAAGACTACATAGCACATTCATCTTTGTTGTCACTGTCATAACCTTTGTGTCACCATGTAGGTATTTATTCTAAGAAGCTTAATCATGTTCATTTAAGATCTTCTCAGACACCACTATGAGAAAGGAGAGAAAAAGGGACATTAACATTAACTCCTTTTCATGACCTGGAAAGATTAAAAGAACATAAATGAATTAATTACCCAAAGAAATCAGACCACCCATCACAGAACCAAGTCAAGACCCTGACCCACGTTCACTACTCCATCCTTTTGGCCATGCCCTAGTTCACTGCAGATAAAAAATTCCCTTGCTGACTGTTAAAGTTAGCATATATGAGTTAACAAAGGGTTTCTGTGTTACTCTCATAGTTTGTGATCATAATTTTGTAGTAAGTTAGAGTAAAGTATCTTTGCAATAACAGGAACTGATCATCTTGGTTTAGAAAAGCAAATCTCTCCCTATTTATTATACTCACTGATGATCCTAAGAGAATGCTCCTCAGTTTCCAAATCTTCCTTGCACATAGAAAGAACACTACATCTCATTAAGTTTATTCATAAGCTAAAACAGAAGACTCCACAATTAGGTAAATAAAATTAGGTTAGGCTTTTATTTTTTGTTTGTTTTATTTTGTTTTTGTTTTTTGAGACAGGGTCTCACCATGTAGTTTAGGCTGGCCTTGAACTCACTATGTAGCTCAGTTTGGCCTCAAATCCTTTTGCAATCTTCCTGCCTCAGCCTCCCAAATGCTGGGATTACAAGTGTCCACCATCACACCCAGCTCAGGATGGGCTTTTTAAAAAATACACCGTTCTTCAGAAGTAAAAACATCATCCCACATATAATCCTATACAGCACCTAGAAATTATGAGGAATATTCCTATGTCAAATCTCCACTGTATAAGCCAAGTATGGTGGCACACACCTACAATGACTGAACTCAAGAGGCTGAGGCAGGAATATTGCCACAAATTTGAGACCAGCACAGGCTACACGGCAAGTTCAAGTCCAGCCTGAACTACACAGTAAAATTCTGTCTCAAAAAACAAAATATCCACTGTATTATATGAGAAATGACAATAGCTAAAAGATCATTAAAAGGAATACACTTCTAACGATGATTCAGAACTGTATCATATGTGGTTAAAAGTCATCCAGTGGTTTAAGAACTAATATGAGTTTGAAAAATATCAGAATGCTGAGGAGTCTGAAGATAGTCTGGAAGGAAAAGCAAAAAATCCAGAAAATGCTATCAGAAGGAATGCTTTTCTTTAGGAATTGACTGATCTCAAAAGTGATCATTATTGATAGTTCTGCTACTAAAAGAAATTATTATAAAAATACATTTGGATATGTCTAGAATTATTTAGATTCACAGAAGAGTTGGTGTAAAAATGCAATTACTTCTTTTTCTCTACGCCACTGGGCCCTTAAGAGACAGCAGATTATCTAGATACAGAAAAAGGAGCAAGGCAAATAGGATGGAAAACAGTCCTATTCTTTTCCCAAATTTACATACTTGCTATGGTTTAGATTAAAATGGCCCCAAGTCTCACAAGTTCGGAAGGTGACTGGATCAGAGTCATCTCCTGCTTTAAATTACAAGTGTCAGGTATTTCATCCCAGTAATGGGAAAGTGACTAATACAAAAGTCAAGAATCCTAAAATGATGTGCTCAAACATGCATTTATAGTCATTCATTGCAGCATGTTTCTAATAGCAAAAGAATGGAAATACCCAAATGTCCGCTAATAGAAGGCTAACTATGCTATCATTAAAAAGAATGAGAAGCCAGGCAAGCAGCACTTGAGAGGCTGAGACAGGAGGATCATTGAGAGTTTGAGGTCAACCTGGACTACGTAGTGAGTTCAAGGCCAGCCTAAACTACACAGCAAGATCTTGTCTCAAAAAGTAACAACAGGGGCCAGATTTAGCTCAGGGGTGCTGCCCCTGCCTCACAAGCGCAAGGTCCTGAGTTAGATCCCCAGTACAAAACAAAAAAATACAAAACTAACAACAAAAAAAAGAATGAATGAGAAACAAAATATGAAAGATAAAGAATCATATTCAAGAAAGATTAAATTTTTAAAAAGCAAGCAAGGTACAGAACAAAATGATTTTTAGAACATTACCTAGCAATTATGTTAAAGAGAAAATTATATTCTGAAATATTTACTTGCATACATATAAACCACCTGTAAAAAAAATGAATCAATAACTTCCTGGTTGTCTTCAGAATAAGAAGATTTAACCTCAGCCTAAAAAGAATAATTAAAGAATGGGTACTATTTGTACTTTGTACTGTAATCCTAGCACTTGAGGGAGCCTGAGTCAGAAGAATCACAAGTGGAGTCCTGCCTCAACAACTTAATGAGATCTTGTTTTAAAATAAAGACTAAAAGGGGCAAAGGATATATAGCTCAGTGTAGAGAGCACCTGAGTTACTCTGATTCCCAATATCCAAAAAAGGGGCCTACTTCACTTTATAAATACGAAAAGTATCCATACTAGAAAAGAAGATTCTCAAGTCAATAATCAAAGCTTCCAACTTAGGACACTAGATAAAACAGCAAATTAGAGCCAAAACAAAAAAACAGGAAAAAAATGAGTAAGCAAAAATCAATGAAATTGAAATAAAGAAAAAAACTGAGCTAGTTCTAGTTCTTTGCATGGATCAATATTGATACATCTCTAGCCAGACGAAACAAGGGGGGGAGGGGAGAGAGAGGGAGAGATACAGGCACAAAGACATACAGACAGACATCAATTACCAAAACCGGGAATGAAAAAGAGGACATAGCTACAGATTCTGTAGACATTACAGAAATAAACTTCACAAAAACAACAACTATTCCAACAACAAAAAAAAAAGGGCCGGGGATTTAGCACAGTGGTTCGGTGGCCTGCGCTTGCAAGGACCCAAGTTCAATCCCCAGTACCAAAAAAAAAAAAAAGTATTCAACAACTTGGCTAACTCAGATGTAAATACTCCTTGAAAAACACAAATTAATCAGTTCACACAAGAAGAAACAGATAACTAACTAGGTCCTTCTCCATTGTACAAACTGAATCTGCATTTTAAAGTGTTCATTCAGAGACCTATAATGGTAAATAAAAGGAAATAACTGCATTTAAAAAAAAAGTTCAGAGATTAAAAGTGAAGAAATAAAAATGTTTATTCCAAATAATTCAACCATCTATTTAGAAAATCCCAATGAACTTACTGATAAAAGCTACAGAACCTACTGAAACAGTGTGAGTTTACCAACACTGCAGAACACAAGGTCAAAACACGAAATTAATTTTACTTCTCTAAGCTAACAAAAGACAATTAGAAATACAGTAACAAACAATATGAAATAATTCAATAAAATACTTACGTGATGGCAGAGACTGTTTCCCAGCCCTCTCACACTGCACTTCACTTTGCACAGTACTCTGACACCAGATACGTGAAAGACATTTCCCCACACACCAAGCAAATCTGCAGCAGACACTAGCAGGTGTCCTCTGATTCAATTCCATTCTGACACTATCCATCTGGGGATAGTAGCAGACCCCACAGGTTGAGCACTCAGTCCCATTAGACTGCTCCCAACTTCAGAAGCCAGTTGGAAGTAAGGGACAACCACTTACTCTTCCAACTACCCACTATAAACCACGGATTCTCACACCCATCCGTGGGTTTGATTAATATGCTGGAATGGTTCACAAACTCAGGGTAATACTTTGCTTACATTTACTTGTTTATTCATAAAAACCATTCAAAGGATATAGAAGAACAGCCAGCAAAGAGAAGCACAGAGTGAGGTATGAAGGAAGGGGTGTGAAATTTCCATGCCTTTCTCAGGCATACTGTATGTTCAGCTATCCGGAAGTTCTTCCAACCCAGCTCTTTCGGGTTTTTAATGAAAGCTTTAATGTATAGGTATGATTAATTAAATCCCTGGCCATTGGTGTTCAATTCAACCTCAGCCCCTCTCCACTCCCCAGAGCTGGGGGATGAGACTGAAGATTCCAACCCTCTAACCACACAGACTGGTTACTCTGGTAACACTCTCCCTCAACACCCACCCCCCCGCTATACAGAAGCCCATCAAGAGTTATATCATTACAGCAAAAGATGCTGCTATCGCCCAGGAGATCTAAGGGATGTAGGAGCTATGTCAGACTTGCTGTCAGTCTGGAAATTAACAGGCCTTAAGGGCTCTGTGTCAGGAACCAAGTAACAGCAAAAAATTCTCCTCCCCTACTGACACTATCTACAAGGGCATCAGGAGCTCTGTCTCAAGAATAGGGCAGAGACCAAACACTGATTCTCCCAGCACTTCTCTCTCTCTCTCTCTCTCTCTCTCTCTCAGGTATTACAAAGGTGTTATTAGAAGTTCAGAACGAGAAGCTGGAACATGAAAGACCTATGTGTGTATTTCTTATTATTTCACAAATCTCAACCAAATTCATAAAATGACATTTTTGTAACTATCAATACAAAAATTTATTATGCATACTTAGATTTCTTTCTTTCTGTCTGTCTGTACCAGGGATTGAACTCGGGACTTTGTGCTTGCAAGTCAGGTG